GGCCTACTTAAGGGCTGGGAGGGGCTTGCCTGGGGAGAGAAGCGAGAGAAACGAGAGAAGAAGCCAAGAAGCCATTGTAAAAGGTCCTGAATAAAACTGCTTGTGAGAAGGGTTCCGGGGTTGTGTTCTTCCTTGCTGGCGAGGCGGGTGTGACATATACTCATCTGAAAGGAAGGACCCCATTTGGGAAAATGCAGCCATAAGGACGGGCTGTAAGCAGAGGAGCCTGTAAGATATTTTCTTAATTAGTGACTGTAAGTGGGGACATCCCTGGGCTGGTGATTCCAGGTTCAGTAAGAAAGCACTCAGAAGAGCCGGGCGGTAGTGGTGCACGCCTTTAATCCCAGCACTTGAGAGGCAGAGGCAGGCGGATCTCTGAGTTCATAAGCCAGCCTGGTCTACAGAGAGCTAGTTCCGGGGCTGTTACACAGAGAAACCCTCTCTCAAAAAACCAACAAGAAAGCACCCTGATCTAGCCAGAGGCATCCCTCCATGGCCTCTGCATCATCTCCTACCTCTGTGTTCCCTCCCTGCTTGATTTCTACACTGATGAACTGTGATGTTGAAGCCTAAGTCAAATAAATCCTTTCCTCTCTAAGTTGCTTTTGGTCATGGTGTTTCATCATAGTAATAGTAACGTTAATTAAGACAGAGATTGGTACCAGGAGTAGGGTATTGCTGTGACAGACCTCACATTTGGGAGAATTGTGAAAGAACTTTGGAACTCTGCGGAGAGAAAAGCCATTGAGTGTTTAAGGCTTGGTGAACTGTTCTGTGGAAGCTTGAAAGATAAGATTATTTTATTGAGAGAAATGCAGACAATGGAGGAAGGCCTGGCTTATGAAGTTCCAGAGAGAAGTGTGAGAGTTACTCCAACTCTTTCTGGGCAGTTGCACACCCCCCACCCCCCACGACCACTGCATATTTTAAATTAAGAATCTGTGGTTCTGGTTATCTGGGGCTCAAGAATGGTTATGATTACAAGATACCAGAACCACTAAAGTGAAACCTTTGCTTTGCTGGGATACTTGATGCTGGTCAGCTGGAGCTGAGAAATTAGCAGTGATTAAGAAGAGACCGGCATCATTGAAGTGAAATGGGAAGTGTTTGATCAGTCATCCATCACACGAAAGCCGTGTTCCAGAGGTGGTCAAGATTGTACTTCATAGCTGGGTGTTCAGGCACACACCTTTAATCCCAGCATTCAAGAGGCAGAGGCAGGTGAATCCCTGAGTCTGAAACCAACCTAGTCTACAAAATGAGTTCTGGGACAGCCAAGGATGTTACACAGAGAAACTGTCTCAAAAAACCAGACCCCAGCATTTTGGAGATGCTAGTAGCATGGAAAAGCCATCAAGAACGTTAGCAGCAGTGGAGTGGAGCCGGCCTGAGTTTAGGAGACAGTCTGCGTAGGCTACAGTGGGTGGAGTCCGAGAAGTGACCCAGGCCTTTTGGAGGAGCCCAGAAGTTTGTAAGGGGATCCTAGGCATCGGACCCTGAGTTACTCACACAGTTGGAGTTTGGTTTCATATGATCTAACTCCTGGGGCTACATGGTGGAAGGAGAAAATCAACTCCCACAAGTTGTCCTTTGACCTTCACACATACGCTGCAGCACAGGGGGACACACACACACACACACACACAAAGTAAAAATTGTCAGGCTGGAGAGATGGCCCAGAGGTTAACAACACTGGTTGCTCTTCCAGAGGTCCTGCGTTCAATTCCCAGTAACCACATGGTGGGTCACTCCTGGCATGCATGGAGGTAGAATAAAAAAACACCCCCAAAATTGTCACAAAATACTGCACTTATAAGTATACATATGAACAGTTAACATTAATGCTCCAGGCATGAAAGTTACAAATAAATTGTGGAGTCGTCCTCCAAAGCTTTTGACATTCAGCCTTTACATTTTGTAGGTTTCTTAGTATTCTACTGTGAAGACACCATGATTATGGCAACTCTTATAAAAGCATTTAACTGGGGCTTGCTTGCAGTTTCACAGTTAGTCCATTACCGTCAGGATGGGAAGTGTGGCCGCATGCAGGTGAACACTATGCTGAAGGAGGAGCTGAGAGGAATGGGCAGGCAGCAGGAAGAAACACTGGGGCTGGTTTGTGCTTTTGAAAGTGACACACTTCCTTCAAGAGTCACACGGCCTAATACCCATAAGCATTCAACTATATGAGCCTATGGGGGCCATTCTTCTTCAGATCACCACAGTGGGTTATTAATTACCTCCACAATAACTATATTTCTGTTATGAGAAGTTAGGAGCTGGATGAAGGGTGAGGACAATCTAGAGTCCTGAAAAAACCCGTGGGGTTATTGTGCAAAGGTCTTATGATTCAAAATGTTTACTTCTATTTGTCTCTAGCACCCAAAATACCCCTACACCAAATTAAATCATTATATAAATGGTTTCTCACTTTTGTTCACAATCCTCATGCTAAACCAAGTATGGTGGCTCACAACTGTTATTACGGTATTTGGGAAACTGAGGCATGGATTCACACAAATTTGAGACCATGTTGGGCTACAGAGTGACTTCAAGGTCAGGCTGACCTATGGAGTAGTATCCTGTCTTAGCAATAACAATTCTTTAGCTTGCTAGAAGAGATGGAACTGCATTAAAGTAATAGTTTATATCTCTTATCCACTGCATAAGCAAAACTGCTTTGTAAATGTTACCTACTCAGGAATTTTACTATAAGTAGCATATATAACTATGCTACTAGTTATGAAAATTAAAACAAACCGTAATTGACACTTCATCTGTATCGTATCATCAGTCCCAGCGCATCCTTCCCTATTTATGTATATGAGTGCTCATCTGCATGTACATCTTTATGAGAGAAGGGTATCAGATCCTACTACAGATGATTGTGAGCCACCATGTGGTTTCTGGGAACTGAACTCAGTACCTCTCAAAGAGCAGCCAGTGCGCTTAGCTGCTGAGCCATCTCTATAGCCTCACAATGTGAAGCTTTAGGTCCAGCTGTGGTGCATGTTGTTTTTAGACTTTACTGTGAAGGTTTGTTTATTTTTAATGTATAGAAGTGCTTTGCCTTTATGTATACCAGTATGCATGCCTGGCACCTGGAGGGCAGGCCAGGATGTAAGACCCTGACGCCACCTCCTGTGGAGCCTGCCTAATCTCTCACGTAAGATGTGGCACAAACTTCAAGGAAGTGTGCCCGCAGAGGGGTGTGTGCGCTGTGCTTCCTTCATTGGAGCCCTTGCACCTTTGGCATTACCTGCTAACGTTCTAAGAAACACAGCCTAGTTTCTTCTGAAAGGGAAGATCGTATATTTAAGTTCCCAGAGTCTACTGATGAGACATTGCCATATACAGGAGTGTATGATGCTAATGGAGGAAGATGGGGTAACATTCAAGGGAAAAAGGTTTCCAGGTTTAATCTGGGGCTTAGGAAATAAAGAACAAAAGCAAACTTAATTAAGCAATTAAGACAGATTCAGCAAAGATGGGATAAGAAGAGATAACTGCCTGTAATATCTTGAAATTGGTTTTGGGGGAAGGTTTGAAAAGGAGTTAGAAACATGGAGGAGAAGGAAAGAAGTTCTTCTGCATAGATGGTAGAAATATAAAAAGACAGTAGACTGTGTGACTGTTTACCACAATCGCTTACCCTTAGCTCAAAATGCCATGAACTCATAGCCTAGATAAAGATTTATATCGAAACTTATGTCAAGCCATGTGTAGCATGACCAACCGCAGACTCACACTGGAGACATCTGTCTGATGAAACTCTCTTCTCATGTATCTGATAGAATGATTCTAAGAATAATTTGTACCACATGAAAAAACAATACATGTGGGCTGGAGAGCTGGCTCAGAGGTTAAGAGCACTGACTGCTCTTCTAGAAGTCCTGAGTTCAATTCTCAGCAACCACATGGTGGCTCACAACCATCTGTAATGAGATCTGGTTCCCTCTTCTGGCCTGCAAGTATACATGCAAGCAGAACACTGTATATGTAATAAATAAATCTTTAAAAAAAAACAACAATACATGCTGTTAAACAATCTTTTCTGTATAAGGGATGAGCCTCATGTCTAGTAAAGATGCATTCAGGTGCAGTTCCTTTGAGTCTTGTATCTGTTTTTCATTCGCCGCCTCCTTATCCACCTATTCCTGAAACCCTGTCCCATCTGAGCTGGTCCATAGCAAGATCCCATGGAATTGATGTCACAGATGGTTGGCAGCTGCTATGCAGGTTCTGGGAACCGAACGTACGTCCTCTGGAAGAGCAGCAAGTGCTCCGAACCGCTCATCATCCAGCTCCGGTCCCTTGTTTTTTTTTTTTTTTTTTTTTTTTTTTTGAGGTAGAGTCTTATTATGTAGCGTAAATTGGCTTAGACCTCCAAATGCTGGAATTACAAGTTCATACCACCATGCACAGCTAATTAGGACACAACTGAAAATGATCTGCTAGAAAGATTCGGTGGTACAATTAAATGATTGAGTTTAAACCTGAACATCTCGTTAGTTTTGTTGACGATGAACATATTTGCCATTTCATCTGTGTGAATATAAGGACACCCACTGTCTTTTATTTTGTTCAAGCGTCAAACAAAATTTGAGTAGCCAAAATACATTTCAACATGAATACATATGTATATTTGTAAACAAACAATGAAACAGCACCAGGGACTTGTATAAAATTTCATCAGTTTTTATGTAAGTTGCTTATGTAATAAGTCACCCTTGATCATTTTCAATGCACATGACTGAAGAAACTATCCCAACTGTTCATCAGATACCCCGTGGGCTATTTCTTAGCTATTTCAGACACTCAAACCAATACTATCTACATTTTGAATATCAACTTGAGCTGCAGATTAGGACGAAACACTTCACAGAGTGCTGAAGAAGTGATGTACTCTGTCCTCAAATTGGCATTATGTTTCCTCGGACTCAGGCCGGCTTCGATGAACTTATCTTCCATCCCCAGGAGTTAAGCTCTATCAAGATGGCTCATCAGCTAAATCACGCTGGTCAAAATACCTAGTAAGAAGTGGAATTCAGTGTATGCATTCATATCAAGTATAGCACTACTCGTAGCAGTAAAGCTCATAACTCAATAAAGAGATTAAACTACAGCCTTCTACCCAATGGGAAAACAGCTTACACATTAAAAAAATGGAGGGGGACGCTGAGTTCTTCAGTAAAGCTGCCTGGGTTAGGATGCTATCTACCATACTATGCCTGTGATGTTCAGGAAGGAGGAAAGTTACTTTTCATCTTTCTGCCAGTTTCCTCATCTCTAAACCAATGGTGTAGGGTTAAATGAGTACCTATTATGAAACACTAAGAAAAATGCGTGATATAAAGTACTCAGTAAAATTAAATATATTAAACAGCATAATTATTGATAGATCAATAAACTAGATGAGCTGGGCAGCAGTGGTGGATGCCTTTAATCCCAGCACTGGGGAGGCAGAAGCAGGGGGATGTCTCAGTTTGACACCAGCCTGTTCTACAGAGTAAATTCTAGGACAGCAGGGACTAGCTAGACAGAGAAACCTTGTCTCAAAAAAAACAAAAACAAAAACAAAAACAAAAACAAAAACAAAAGCAAAACAAACAACTAAAAACCCCTAGAAGCTCAGTTCAGTATGTGTGCATTTTCCAAACCTATCTTGTCTGGGGAAGGGAATGGCTTCTGGGTATTTAGTTAAGCACATTATGAAGCTTTACAAAGGAGCTAGCAAAAATAGGACACAGCAAACAAACAATAATAACCACTGACCAACGAGCAAAAACTTGTCCCGAAAGAGACCTAAAATCAATGTGTGCCTTTTGTTTAGATTTAGAATATATTTTCAAATAAATGTAGGTGAAACCCTGATACAAAGTATTCAATCAATCAAGGAATGGAGAAGTAGCTTAGCTGGTAGACCCTCGCCTGTCGTGTACATGGCACTGGGTAATCTCCCCAGTACTGAGAAAGGGCTGGAGAGATGGCTCAGCAGTTAAGAGAACAAGGGCTGCTCTTCCAGAGGTCCCGAGTCCAATTCCCAGCAACCACAGGGTGGCTCACAACCATCTCTTCTAGCATAAAGGTGCACACGCGGATAGAGCACTTGCATAAAATAAATAAATCTTAAAAAGAAGATATTTAAAGATAAAGAAATTCAACATACTAGATAAAAAATACAGCAACTGAAAATGAGTGAAGCATTAAACATGTTCTACTTTATATGGATAACAAACAGGAAATCAGATTTCTTAATTTACCTGCTAACTAAGCAGATCAGTAAATTCAAAGCAGGAACTCTTTCGTCATCTTTACTGCCCTGAAAAACAGAAAAAGCACACTTTATCCCTCAAATATTTCCTTAATAAATTTCCTTTTACGATGAAAACGTGAAAATGTTATTAGGTGACCGCCACCACCACATAAACTGTCAGAATGCTGGTGTTTGACTCATGTCTTAGACAGCAGAGACTGGGAGGCATAAGCAGGTGGAGCTGTGAATTTAAGCCCAGCCTTGTTCTCAAAATGGACAGACAGAAGAAAACTACAGGTTCCCTGAAAACACTGGGGTATTTTTTCTTTTTTTTTTTTTGAGGCAAGGTTACACTGTATACCCTCAGCTGGCCTGAACCTCCCCATGTAGACAGGGTCTCCTGAGTGTTTGAAGGCACGTCACTACACCTGGGCCATCTTTTATTTATAAAATAAAATTTAAATATAAACACATTATTTTCCCTGATCCCAAATTTCCTATGTCCAATCATTTCAATGTACTCCCATCTTACACTCTCTCAAATTCATGGCCTTTTTTCCTTGTTGTTTTTACATACACACACACACACACAATCTGCTTAGTCCATATACTGTTACCTATGCACACAATTTCGGGGCTGGCCAATTGGTGTTGGATAACCAATTTGGGGGCCTCCAGGTATCTGCATTCCTTAGTTACTGACAAGAGGCCCCTTATTTTATTCTGAGGCTTAAGTTCCATGTAGCCCAGTGGGGCCTAAAATTCCTATGTAGTCTCCAAGCTGTCCTTGATCCTCCTGCCTCCACCTCCCCAGTGCTGACAAGCTTGGGTTATCACACTTGAAATACACAGTGCTATGGCTAGAACCCTGTGCATGCTAGATGAACACTGTAATCAACAGGCTATAGCCCCAGCTACAATCTCTTATTTTATTTTACAAGTTTTTCAAGACAGGGTTTCTCTGTCTAATAGTCACTTTGTATACCAGGCTGGCCTTGAACTCATAGATTCTCCTGCCTCTGCATCCTGAATGCTAGGATTAAAGGGAAATGCTAACACCACGCAGCTTTATTTTATTTTTTAATTATGTTTCTATTTAGAGTGTGTGTATTTCCCAGTATATCAAACTCAGTCATCAGCCCAAGATCATTATTTAAAGAAAGATGCTGCTCAGAAAGATTAATAACTAATGCTGGGGCAGTGGTGGTGCACGCTTTTAATCCCAGCACTTAGGAAGCTGAGGCAGGCGATTTTTTGAATTTGAGGTCAGCCTGGTCTACAGAATGAGTTCTAGGACAGCCAGGGCTACATGGAGAGACTCTGTCTCAGGTTAAAAAAAAATTAATGCTGTTTACAAGGGTTCTAGGTTTATGGGCACTACAACAGGGGTTGTTATATACACTCCTGTTAGGTGATCCTCCCCACTATATCACGATGTAGCTGAAAGGTAGAATAGATTGGGCCTCCGAGCTTCCAAAATTGAACTGAAATCAATTTCTCTTCAGTTTGGGAGAGTGCTTGCCCAGCACACACTCAGGTCCCTGGATTTGATTCCCCCATACATAATAAACACCGGCTTCAGGGACAGCAGCACAAAACAGACTACGGAGGATAGAAGTTACGAGCATCAGAGCCGAAGTTCTGGGACTCGGTCGTTTTAGATCTTGTCTGTACCTTCACACTTCCTTTACCTGGGGGAAAATCCTCACTGTACTTTTTTCATATTCTTTTTTTTTTTTTTTTTGAGACAGGTCTTACTATGTAGCTGTGGTTGGCCTGAAGCTCACTTGTAGACTAGGCTGGCCTTACAGAGATCCACCTGCCTCTGCCTTCTAAATGCTAGGATTAAAGGTGTACACCATCATGCTTGCCCCTCTCCCCCCTTTTTTGGAGAGGGTCTTTTGTATAGTCCAGGCTGGACTTAAACTGCATTACTCCCCTTTTCCACCTCCTAGGTGACAGGATTACAGTCTTGTCTACCATATTTGCCTTTACATTATTTAATTTAGTATATTTCACACTTATTTTTGTGGTCGTTTTATTCTCACCTAATAACATATCCCACTGTTTTTTTTTTTTTAACTTTTCGAGACAGGGTTTCTCTGTAGCTTTGGAGCCTGTTTTGGAACTAGCTCTTGTAGACCGGCCTGCCTCTGCCTCCTGAGTGCTGGGATTAAAGGCGTGCACCACCACAGCCTGGCTAATCCCACATTTTTCTACGTCATATATCACTGAAATCTTTTCTCCCACCATATACATGAGTAGACAATTAGAATCTGAAATATACACTGTGACTCACCACGAGGAGTCTAACTTCAGAGCATCTTCTTGCAAGCTGTCGAATCAGTGAATGAGCCTCAGGCAATAAAGGCTTTTCAAGACAAGCCAGTAAAGCATAAAACCATCTTCCCTAAGTAGAAATTTAAGAAGTAATAAATAGACAAATATAAGCTGCTCTTCTAAATGCCTAATGCTGCTATCTGCTTACATGCTATGAACAAATCAAGGGACAAATAAATCAAATGATAGTTCTTCTGTCTCACAGTCACAGACCTAGGCCACTTGCTCCTTCAAAATAGCATCTGATTCCCAAAATACTCATTTCTGATATTTGTACTACTGTTTAGGACCCTCCCCACCTTTTTAAAATTTTATTTATTTATTTACTTATTTTCTGTGGATACAGAGCCTCATTGTGTATCCATGGCTGGCCTGGAAACCAGAAGGGGTTCTCACCATGCCTTGTTCTGAGGCTATCAATTATAAGCAAAAGTCTTTTTTTGTTTTTTGAGACAAAGTTTCATTATGTATCTCTGGCTGGTCTCCAGCTTGCCTCTGCCTCTACAATGCTGTGATTAAAGGTGTGTATCACCACATTGGGGTGCAAGCAAAACACTTAACTTCTAGGTTTTGCGGGTCTGTAGTGTTAATCACTTGAGAGGTTGAGACAGGAGGATTGCAAGTTCAAGGCCAGTCTGACCATCTGAATGAGACTTTGTCTCAAAATAAAATGCCTATTTGTCTCAAAATAAAATGAGGGTACATGCATTGTAAAGCACTTGCTGAGGATTCATAAAGCTGAGGCTCAATCCTCAGTACTACTTAAGACCATCTTAATTAAGACATATATAGAAATTTGCTCTCCATAAATAGTAGTGTAAACTGTTTTAATATTAAAAGCTGTTTCCTGGGTCAACACAAAAGAACTACACTGCAAACAAAGTAGTGGTCTGGGCCATGCCAGCAGCTGAGCTTCCTGTTCCCTCCATCACAGTATCTGCCTCACCAAAGCCAGGAACAATGAAGAGGACCCTGAAATTGTAAGCCCAAACCACAGTTCTGGGCCTTCAGGGAGCTACACTCTTGAAATGTTATTTCAATTATAAAATACAAAAGTAATCACAATTTACACATAAAAATTTTAAGGAAATAGAAACATTATCTTCAGTCTTAACACTCAGAGAAGAGTTCTGGATTTGGAAATGCTTAGAATTCAGGCTTCTTACAGTATATAGAGTGATTAAAATTATGTGAAAAATAGCTATGGTCCTAGGGGGAAAATAATTGGTATGAGTGATTTTAATGTGTATTATCTCATTAAAAAATATGCTAAAGAATTGTTTTTGTTGAGACAGGGCCTACTTTGTAGACCTTGTTGGCCTCAGACTTGCTATATAGTCCAGGCAATCCTTGAACTCACGAGTGATCTGCCTGCCTCTGCCCTCAGTGCTAGGATTTCAGGACTACATGTGCTACTACACCTGCCTGAAGACTGAAAGAGTGATTCTCAGAGAAGACCACAACCAGGTTCCTGGTGAGTATTAATTTTCTTTAGAAAGTTTTTTTCTTTTAATACCCATGTTTAAAACCTGCATTATATACATATATTATATATATTTCATAGATATATAAACACTTTACATATTATATTATTTTATATATGTTACTATATTATAGATATTTATACATATTATTAAATTTATAAATAATATATTAATGTGTAATTAATATATATTATATTAAAAATATATTTTCCCCTTCAAGACAGGTTTCTCTGTGTAGCTTTGGAGCCTGTCCTAGAACTCACTCTGTAGACCAGGCTGGCCTCAAACTCACAGAGACCTGCCTGTCTCTGCCTCCTGAGTGATGGGATTAAAGGCATGCGCCACCACCATCTGGCTTCCATTATATTTTTTAATTATTATTTATTTATTATGTATACAGTGTTCTGTCTGCATGTTGCCTGAACGTCAGAAAAGGGTATTAGATCTCATAGTAGATAGTTGTGAGCCATCATGTGGTTGCTGGGGAACGAACTCAGGACCTCTGGAAGAGAATAGTCAATGCTCTTAACCTCTGAGCCATCTCTCCAGCCCCTCACTTTGTATTTTTGAGATAAGGTCTTATTCTGTAGCTAGGCTGACCTACAGTTCACTATGGAGCTGAGGCTGCCCTCAAACTCTTACATCCGCCTCCCAAGTGCTACAATTCATAGATAGGTACCACTGCAATCCCAGTCCCTATGACTTTCTTAATGAGGAAAACAAGGCGCTTATTTATAAACAAGATTTGAATTTTATATTGCAGAACACATGAATACATACATATACATGCATATACATATGTAAGTATAAATACCCCAGTCACACCTCATATAAGTAAAATAATTTTGCCTGCATAATGAAAAGAAAAAAGATGCAATACTACCAATTCTGGAGTAAAATCTCTTTCTCCAAACCAATTACTCAGATATTCCAAGACACTAGTGACTGTTGCCTAAAAAAAAAATAAATAAAATAGAATTAAAAGAAAAAAGCAGTGGGGTGGGGTCAGGCAGCGACATTAGAGGTAAAACACTGACAAGTTCAACGTGAGCTTCATTAACTGTAGCTAAAAAGCAGCTGGAAGGTTAAAATGGCTTTGTTCTTTGGGCTCCCAAAGAAATCAATCAGTAACGGGTAAGGCTCACGCCTAGCACTGGTCTTTTGTTTTGTTTGAGGCTGTGACTGGATTCACAATGCAGAGCAGGATGGCCTCATCTGTGGCCGTCCTGCTGCCTCTGCCTCCCAAGTGTGAGCAGAAGCCTGACTTAAAGTCATCTAAGAGAAATAGTTTTACAGTCTCCAGTATTGACTCAGGCTTTAAATTTAGTTTGTAACTAGTAAAAAATTTCAAATATGCCTACAAAAGAGCCTTTAGTTTACTTACCAATTCAAGCGAAGTTGAAAACCAACTCTAAAGAGAAGCAAACTTAGCTAGAGAAGGCTGTTTTAAAATCACACAGATGGAATCATCAATGCGCGGAGAATATTTTCTTACTTAATTAAATGTAATTGGGTACTTAAAAAAAAAAACCCAGCTATGACTACCAGCTTCTTTCCTTTCTGAGACAGGGTTTCTATGTCTTGGCTGTCCTGGAACTTGCTCTGTGGACCAGGATGGCCTTGAACTCAGAGATCCGCCCTGAGTGCTGGGGTTAAAAGCAGCTTCCTTTGCTTTACAGCTGGCAGTAAAAACTCCTCTCCTAAAGGACTAATGAATGAAATTCTATCTGTTTTTTCCCTTCGGTCTAATAAATTAGTTATTTTATCCAATAATTATCTATTTTAACCTTCACGAATTATGCTGAAACAGGTCCTTTAAAATTAGAACTGTGTCTTGGCTTCAAGTACTGAATTTCAGATGTAGACTTAACACACATAATTAAATGTACACAAATGAACACATTAGTACCATATCAGGAACACAAAGGCCATCTGTCACGTGATCCTTTTACTCGATGGAATTTTGTTTGCTCAGCTATAAAACAGCCATTAACATTATTTTCTCACATAGAACTATAATGAGAATCACTGCAGGGCCTAGGACAAGACCCTGTACACTGTAAATACTGAGTAAATGGATTCAAACCCTTTCATATACACTGCAAGCAAAAGCCTGCATGTACTGTTTGATGATGCTTACCTGATTCATTCTGCTTACAATACTAAGCAAGGGAGGAAAACCAATCTGAAAGAGAGAAGGAGACTGAGGTTTACTAAATGACAGCACAAGTCGGGCTTCATTTACTTCTGGTCAAACTGAAAAATTTCTTGCTTAACAAAGGAGAGAAAATTCCAAGGGCTGGGGATGTAGTTCTGTGATAGAGTAGTTGGTTCGTGTGTGTTAGATGCTGGGCTTAAGTCTTAGTTATGTGAGGGAAAAGAAAAATGGAGAGAGAGAGAGAGAGAGAGAGAGAGAGAGAGAGAGAGAGAGAGAGA